TCCCCTATCTTAAATGGAGTTCCACTATGTTTGCTTAATTAATTTTTTTCTCTTGAATATTCCTGAACATTCTCTCTCTTAAAGATTTTAACTTTTACTTTTAGAGCAGCAGTGACCTCCAAAACCTCAAGTAAGAAGAACAAAAGCCATTATGGATTAGGTTTAACAAAATCCTATTTGCTGACATTGCTGTATATGGAAGAAGTAATCACTCTTCACATCTCTTCACTTGCTCTTACCAAGGCCATTCTCCCAGTGGGACGGCTGCTGTTGGTAATTGCAGTAGCTTTCTCTCCCCAAAAGAATAGTTGAATCGCCAGTAGGAATCTAAGCATTTCTACTCCCTTTTAAGGGTCCCAGACTCCTCTGTCTTCCCATGACTTTTTCCTGTCTTCCTTCCTTCCTTCCTTTTAGTTTCTTTCATTTAATGATAAACTTGTGCAAGTAAGTTGCAAACATCATGACACTTCACCCCTCCCTAAATATTTCAAAATATATCTCCTAAGAGCAAGACATTCTCCTGTATAACCACAATATCATCACTTTCAAGAAGTTTAACGTTTGTACAACACTTTCTAACACAGAGATGAGACTCACATTTCCCCAATAGTTTTAATAATGGCCTTTAAACCAGGATCAAATGGAAGATCACACATTATATTTAGTCATCATGACTCTTTGGTCTTATTTAATCTAGGTTGGTTCCCTCAACATTTTTTGTCTTTCGTGTTATTGACATTTTTGAATAGTCCATCATTTGTTTTATGATTTGTCCAATAATTTAGATTTATCTGATTCTTTCCTCCTGATTCAAGTTAAACATTGTTGGCAAGAGTATTACATAGTTAATATTGTGTCTTCTCAGTGTATCACATCAGAAAATACTTGATGTCTGTTTGTCTCATAACTGATGAGTGGTGATGTTAAGTTCGATTGCTCGGTTAAGATGGTATCCACCAGATTTCTCTATTGCCAAGCTGTCTTTATCCCTTTGCAATTAATAAGTAGTCTGTGGGTGATATCATAAGACTATGAATATCCTGTTTACCAAGAACCTTTTTCTCAATGGTTTAACATCCATTGATAAATTTGCCTGAATCGATTATTGTATTGGTGATTGTAAAATAGTGATTTTTGTAATCTTATCATTCATTATACATTTATTAGCTTTCATGCTTCTGTAAAGACATATCTGTTTGAATTTTATTCTATGTGGTTTTAAAAAATCAGGAATAGATGTTGAATTTCGTTAAAGGCCTTTTATACATTTACAGAGATAATCGTGATTTTTCTTCAGGTCTATTAATATTGTAAATTATATTAATGAATTTTCTTATATTGAACAACCTTAGGCCATGCTATATTTTCTTAATAGGTTGTTAGATTTTGTTTGTTAATATTTTATTTAGGATTTTTGCAGCATATTCATTAAAAAATATTGGTCTGTAGTTTTTGTGTATGTGTATGCACCTGTATCTTCATCAGATGCAGAATCAATATTATACTTGCATTAATAGGAGAACTTGGAATTTTCTTTTTTGTCTACATTCTAGAGAAAAAGCTACGTATCACTGGAAATACCTAGTATAAGATTTGGTAGAATTTCCCTATGAAACTATTGGGCCTAGCGTTTTCTTTTTTCTGTTTATTTCTTTCACAGAAATTATTCATTTAAGCTTTATATCTGTACTGGAGTCAATTTTGCTAACATGCATTTTTCTAGAAAATCTTTCATTACATCTAGTTTTCAAATTTATCATTGAATTGTACAAAGTAGTTGCTTGTGAGTTTTTAAAAATTTTCTTTAAAATCAATCATATTACTGACCACCCTTGCCATTTCTTATTTTTTATATTTGAGTTGTCTTGAGTAATTAACTAGTGCTTGTCTTTTGTTGATTTTTTTCTCAAAGAAGCAGCATTTTAGTTTGTTTAGAGTTCTACTATTTTTCTGTTTTATACCTCATGACTTTCTACCTTTATTATTGATTTCTTTATATTTGTTTGCTTTGTTGCACTTTTTCTAGCTTTCTGAGTAGGAATTTAACTCATTTACTTTTTTTTTAATGATAGTTAATTTTATTTGTTCAAGGGCTCAGATTGCAAGCATTGAATCAAGCATGGGCTTTGATTCTTTGAGCCCAAATTCACTTACTTAGGAAGATAAAAGCAAACTATGATCTGTGTACATGGACAAAAACTAAAGGCTCAGGGTTAACCACATTGCAGTTTTTGAATTTCTACAGCCTAGAGCTCAGTAGTCACAGGTCTTTCAGGTCCTTCTGGATGTCCCACAGGGTATCTGCACTTTTCTTGAGCTGAGCAACCTCACCATCCTTTAGCTTCTGGTTGATAACACTGGTTAATCCCCGAGCATTGAGGATACATGGGAGGCTCAGGAAGACTTCATTCTCAATGCCATACATCCCCTTCACCATCGTTGATACTGGATGAATTCTGGATAGATTTTTCAGCATGGATTCAATAAGATCAGCTACACGTAATCCAATGGCCCAATTGGTATATCCTTTTAGCTTGATAACTTCATAGGCACTCTCAACCACCATCTTATGCACTTCTTTCCAATTTTCACTATCATTATCTGTTCCCATTTCTGGATTCAACTCCTGGAGAAAAACACCTGCCACATTCACTCCACTCCACACAGCCACACTTGAGTCGCCATGTTCTCCCAAAATCCATCCATGGCAGCTGCTGGGATGAATGCCAAGTTTTTCAGCCATGAGATAGCGAAATCTAGCAGAATCCAGATTACACCCACTTCCAATCACACGGTGCTTGGGCAATCCGCTTAGTTTCCAGGTAACATACGTAAGAATGTCCACTGGGTTGGAAACCACAATTATGATGCAATCAGGACTGTACTTGACGATCTGAGGAATAATGAACTTGAAGACGTTAACATTTCTCTGCACCAGATTGAGACGACTCTCCCCCTCTTGCTGACGGACGCCTGCAGTTACCACCACAATCTTGGAATTGGCGGTCACAGAATAATCTTTATCTGCCACAATTTTACACGTCTGAAGAAATAAGCTCCCATGCTGCAGATCCATCATTTCCCCTTTAAGCTTATCTTCCAAAACATCCACAAGAGCAAGTTCATCAGCCAGAGACTTTCCTAGAATACTGATAGCACACGCCATACCAACTTGTCCAACACCCACTGCAGTGATCTTATTGTTTGGGACCGCTGCTTCTTCTTCTGCAACTGGTGCAATGAGTTTTGCCTTAAGAGTTGCCATTGTGCACAGGAGAGAGAAGGCTCTGGAGCCCGCTGTAATAGTTGTGTGAAGACCTAACTCATTTACTTTTATTGATCTAAGTATATAAAACTGAATTTTTCTCCAATCATTGCTTTAATTGTGTTACAAAATTACAATATGTTGTGTTTTCATTATTAATTTTTAAAAGTCCTGAAATTGGTTTGTATTTCTTCTTTCTTTCAATAGTTGTATTTAAATAAAACAACTTTATAAGAGAATTTTTAATGGAATTTGTTGGGTTTTATTTTATTATTAATTTTTAGTTTTATTGCATTGTGATCAGAGAATGTTGTTTATCTCAATTTTATTGAAGCTTTTTTTGTAATGTAATTATTAGTCAATGTTAGGAAATGTTCCATGTGCGCTTGAAAAGAATGTATAGTCTCTATTATTGTGTTGTATAGATCTTCCATATGTTTACTTTCCCTCCCACTTATGCTGTCCTCAACCGAAAGTGATATGTTAACATCTTTTATTATTCTTGTTTTTGTTGTCTTTGCAATTTCTATACTTTCTACTATATTAGGGATCAGCAAACTACAGCTTGCAGACCAGCTGCCTGTTTTTATAAATAAAGTTTTATTGGGACACAGCAATGTTCATTCATTTACATATTGTTTATGGCTGCTTCATCACTACAACGGCAGAGTTAAGTAGTTGCGAAAGAGTATATGGCCTGCAAACCTAAAATATTTACTATCTAGCCCTAAAAGAAAAAGTTTGCCAACCCTTGTACTATATGAAAGTGCATAGATATTCACACTTAGTATATCTTTGATGTGAATCACATCCTTAGTATTATTTAATATAAAGTCATCTTCTTTGTCATGCTTAATATTTTTTGGCCTGAACTCTACTTTGTTTGGTGTAAGGATTACAACTCCTGCTTCTTTTCCTTTTTTTTTTTTAATTTGGTATACCTCTTCATTTTTAGGTGTTCCGAATAACACTGTTTTACATGTGTATCTCATATACAGCATAGAGTTAGATTTTGCTGTCTAATACAATTTGAAAATATTTTTGTTTTAATAATTGAATTAGGTGGCTCTGTTTGTTAAACTTTCAAGGTAGAACAGAAACAAGTTTTTTATACATGATTTGAAGGCTTTCGAATATACTGTATTTTGTTTAAGTGATGGTAAAGTTAATCCAAAATAGATAGGTGAAGATACCTTAGATTTCAAGTTTTATATTGGGAATTATTATTATGATTTCACAATGATTAAAGCGCAGCACTGACTAGATATTTTATTGTGATCTGGAAATTGACTTGAAATGAAAATGAAAATGAATTACTGCTTAAATTGAGGGTAATTGTTAGTGAAGTTAAAAGGTAGAGTTTACATCTTGGATAACTAAAAATTAAAACAAATAGAAAATTCCCAAGAAGATTGATTAACTGACTCTTGGTTAATTCATTTTATGCTAATACAGTTTTCGTGTTTTCATGTATTTATTTATTAATACAACCATTTATGGATTCTACAATTGGCTGAGCCCTGTTTAAGGGTCTAATGACACAAAGATGAGTTTAAGCAGTATCTCTTACTTCAGAAACTCATCATCTAGTTTGGACCATGAGGGAATTATTTTCACATATACATTTTTTTCCCAGAACTGGCCATTCTCTTTTCAGTTAGTCTAGGATTTTTTGGATTTCCCTCTCTTTGTTTGGATGACATAACTAAACTGTATTGTTCTTGCTCTCATGCAGGGTAGCCACTGATCACAATGTGGATAATACAACAGAAATACTCAGGGAGTGGTTGAAAAATGTACAGAGACTCTACCACTATGTGGAGTGGAGGCCCATGGATAAGCCAGAGTGAGTAACAAGAATCCATTTTGCAAACTCATTATTTACCCTTCTTCCGTAACCAGTTCTCCAGCCATGTGGGCTTTTAATCCTGGAGACACATGTGACTTTTCATTGTCTTTTATCTCTGTACCTCAGTTCCAAACACCTGCTATTTCTTCCTTTAATAAATCTTCATTGTTCCCTCTTTCTCTTTACTTCTACAGCTGCCAGCCAAGGTTTTCATAAATTCATAAATAAATTGCCACAATAGTATATATTTTTAAATATTGATCTTATTTATTCATATTTTAAGTATAAAGCTTTTATACTTGAGGGAGCATAGTGAAAAGTTTGTTTACTTTCTACATATACCTTGCTTTTTCACTTATATCTTGGTAATCAGTCCATAGCAATAGTTAAGGAGCTTCATTCTTTTTAACTGCATAGTATCCAATGTATGGATGTACCATAATTATTTAATCTGTCCCCCACTGATGGACATTTAGGTTATTTCCAATCTTAACTGTAGCAATTTATTAGTTGCTTCTATCTCCAGGTCATCCTACATACCATACTGTCAAATCAGTCTACCTGAAATACAAATGAGGTGGTTTCATTTCTTTATTAAAAGGACTCCAATTGCTCTTCCGTACCTACAGAACAAAGTTCAAATACCTGAGACTGATATTTAAAAGATTCCATAAACTTAGCATTCATATGTCCTGCTTTTTCCCAAAAGAAAATGTGCTTTATGCATTTATTTCCAAACCCCAAGCTAATGTTCATGCAGGCCCTGAAAGGTCCTTTCCTTCTTTGTAAACAACTCTTATCCTAAATTGTACCTACTACAGAAAGCTATTCTTAATCATTCCAGTTATAAAGATCTACTTTTCTCTCAACAGTTGTGTTCTTTATTTTCCATGGCACAATGGTACACTTAACCGATATTGTTAATTAACTATGCAATTTATGTATTTTTTTCTAAACACATTATAGGTTCTTTGGCAGGGGTTAGAGTATACAAATACTTTTATTTCACCCCAGTGCTGCACTCTTGGCAGACACTATATTAATACTTGTTGGATGAGTAAATGAGTAAGAATAAGAATAAATATATCTAAAACTTACTATTGTAAATGTTCCCACGGCTATTACAATTCCACCTTAAGGAATTGTAGATAATGAACGAATGAGTTGCCTAAATTTCTGCACAGGGTAAGTCATTTATTGAAAGCCA